TGGTGATGATCATGATGATGATGATGATGCTGATGATGATGATGATCGTGGGCGCTCGTGTAACTAGATCCTCACACAAAACTGTCCTTGGTGTCCTTGGTGGCCTCGCTTGATGATGTTGCTAATCAACATAAGAAGATAACACTTTCGATTCGCAACTTCCCCCCGCGATAATCAAATTCGGCCTCGCCGCCCCTCTCCACAATCAAATCTGTCTGACCCGGGGATAACAACCACTCAGGGGTTAAGGGGGGGAGTCCACTTTATCATCCGAGGTTAGAGGGTTAATCCCACGCCCATGCTGGTTCCATTGTTGATCGTTCCCGTGTAACTGTTGATTCCCTGGTTGTCCGTTTCCATGTTGTTGTCGGTCATGTCGAGAGTCTGCCGCTAGATCGCCATGTTCTGGAAACGCTCTTTGCTTGCGCATTGAACCTGAAAGCAATAATCCCAAAAACATGCTCCACATACCATACACTGAAGTATTGAGAATTGAAGTCGCCCCAAAGAACGAAACTAACAAAACACCGTCCGTCGCGATTCTCTCTCACCTTGGCTCGCCTTAAATCTGCCAAGGAGTTCTTTTAGCGTTGTTAGCCCGGCGTCTTGGAAATTATGGTTTGGGCGATTTTAGGTCTCAACACATAGAAAATATACAACAACTTACGCGTTCTGTTATTTCGCGTTTTCAAACCGGTGGTTTAGCGTTCTCAGCCTGAAGACGCAAAACCAAAAGCAAAAAACAACGACAGAAAACAGCCCATAAAAAGCAAAACAAAAAACCGTAGCGTTGTTTTTGTTAAGCACTGTCAGCCTGTCAAGAGCCCAATCTAGAATCTAGAAAACGCTTCTTGTTCATATGATCTTTTTTCTTTCCAACCGCAACAAGTTTGTATGAACAGAGGGAAGGAGGCGCCGTCCCTCTGTTTCAGACCTTACCTGCAACGCGTTGGGAAGCAGGAGGTCGGGGAGACGCGGGAGATGCCGCGACTCCAAACACCGCCCACACCTGACAGGCCTTGCTGCGCGGAAGAGTGTGGGGGGGGCGCATAGCGCCGAGTGGCAGGAGCTGCCACAAAAATCAAAACAAGAGATGCCAAAATCGACCACCCACACAAGGACGGCGAGACCTACCACCCCTGGCGCAAAGAGCGCCAGGACGGTGGCTGGGCCTCGCCCCAGATGTGGGGTATGCGCACGGATGCCTGCCCCGAGGGGCAGCCGCATCGGGCCGTGCGCCACTGGCAGGGAAACAGCAGAACAGATAAAAGATAAAGCCGCGCCTTCCGCGCGAACTCAGCAATGCAACATGCACAGGGCAAGTGCTAGGACGCAGGGGATGGCCGTCTCCCCTCTCCCAGCTTGAACTTAATTGCCACGGGCACAACACTGCGGACAGACACGTCGGGCCTTGCACAAAGACTGAGAGACTCGGGAGCGATGGCTCGGAAAAGACAAACACATAATAAAAACCGAAAGACCGCACAAGGGAGACGAGGCTCGCCTACCCCTGGTGCAGAGAGCGCCAGGACCGTAGCAAGCCTCACCCCACAAGTGGGCTGAGTAAGAAGTGAGGCGAACCAAGTCCCTCACGACGCGAGAGGAATCTGGGGAGGAGGAGCAGTAATTCCGAAGGGCCAAAATAGCTCCAGGAGGCACCGGGAGGGGTCAAGACAAACCCCAGAAGGCACCAGGAGGTCCCAGGAAGCCCCGGGGAGCCCCGCCCCAGGAGGCCCCAGGAGGCTTCAGGAGAGTCCAGAAAGCCCCAGAAAGCCACCAGAAGCCCCAGAGGGCCCCAGGAAGCCACAGGAGGCCCCAGGAAGCCCCAGGAGACGACCAATCTATAGGCACATACGTTAAACACAAAGGATTGTGAAGCCACCCAGACCGCGCAGCACCGGTGACACGCTTCCAACGGATCCATCCTGCGGGCTCCTGGGGCATTCCGCCTCAAGAAGGTCCCGGGAGGCCTCGAGAAACACCCAGGAAGCCCCATGAGGCCCCCAAGAAGACCAAACAAGGCCCTAAGAGGCTCCAAAACGGCCCCCCAGGAGGCTTGAAAACTGCATCCATAAGCCCGACGAGAAACCTTTTCTCGTCGGCCGCCCCCGCCGCCGCCGGCCGCCGCCGCCCGATGGGGCTGGGTTGCGGGTCCAAGGCCTCCTGGATGTTCGTTTGGGGGTCTCTTGGGAGGTTTCTCGTCAGGCTTTTGGAAGCTGTTTTGAAGCCTCCTGAGGAACCGTTTTGGGGCCTCTTAGGATTCTTTTTAAATCAACTTGGGGAGGGGTCTTGTCTAGCAGAAGGTGCCGCACAGCAGGTGGGCACGCCTAGCACCAATGATTATTTTCTAATCAACTGGGAAGGGCTCTTGCCTATCAGAGGGTGCCGCACAGCACAGGGGCATGTCTAGCACCAAGAATTCTTTTTAATCAACTTGGGGAGGGGTCTTGCCTAGCATAGGGGGCCGCACAGCAAAGGGCATGTCTAGCACCAGGGATTCTGTTTTAACTAACTTGGGAAAGGGTCTTGCCTAGCAGAAGGTGCCGCGCAGTAGAGGGGCTCAACTTGGAGAGGATGCCTCACAGCAAAGGGGCACGCCTAGCACCAAGGATTCTTTCTGAATCAGCTTGGGGAGAGGTCTTGCCTAGCAGAAAGTGCCGCACAACAGATGGGGCACGCCTAGCACCAATGATTCTGTTTTATCAATTTGGGGAGGGCTCTTGCCTATCAGAGGGTGCCGCACAGCAAAGGGGCATGTCCAGCACCAAATATTATTTGTTTAATCAACTTGACGAGGGGTCTTGCCTAGCAAAGGTGCCGCGCAGCAAAAGGCATGTGTAGCACCAGGGTTTTTTTCTTAAATTACCTTGGAGAGGGGTCTTGCCCAGCAGAAGGTGCCGCATTGCAAAGGAGCTCACCTTGGAGAGGGTGCCGCACAGCACAGGGGCACATCTAGCACCAAGAGTTCTTCTTTAATCAACTTGGGGAAGGGTCTTGCCAAGCAGAAGGTGCCGCACAGCAAATGTGGCACGCCTAGCACCAAGGATTCTTGTTTAAAATCAACTTGGGGAGGGCCATTGCCTAACAAAGGGTGCCACGCAGCAGATGGGGCACCTCTAGCACTAAACATTCTTTTCAATCAACTTGGGGAAGGGTCTTGCCTAACAGAAGGTTCCGTTCAGCAGATGGGGCACGTCTAGCACCAATAATTTTTGGTTTGGACAACTTGGGGGGGGGTCTTGCCAAGCAGAAGGTGCCGCACAGCAGGTGGGGCACGCCTAGCACCAATGACTCTTGTTAGATCAACTTAGGGAGGGCCATTGCCCAACAAAGGGTGCCACGCAGCCGATGGGGCACGTCTAGCACCAACGATTCTTGTTTAATCAACTTGGGGAGGGGTCTTGCCTAGCAGAAGGAACCGCACAGCAGGTGGGGCACGCCTAGCACCAAGGATTCCTTTTAAATCAACTTGGGGAGGGCCATTGCCTAACAAAGGGTGCCACGCAGCAGATGGGGCACGTCGAGCACCACGGGTTATTGTTTTAATCAACTTGGGGAGGGGTCTTGTCTAGCAGAGGATGCCGCACAGCAGGTGGGGCACGCCTAACACGAAGAACTTGTTGTTTAGTCAACTTGGGGAGGGTTCTTGTCTATCAGAGGGTGCCGCACAGCAAAGGGGCACGTCCAGCACCAAATACTCTTTTTTAATCAACTTTGCGAGGGGTCTTGCGTAGCAAAGGTGCCGCACAGCAAAAGGGCATGTCTAGCACCAGGGATTCGTTTGACATTACCTTGGGGACGGGTCTTGCCTAGTAGAAGGTGCCGCATTGCAAAGGGGCTCACCTGGGAGAGGGTGCCGCACAGCACAGGGGCACGCCTAGCACCAATGACTCTTGTTTAATCAACTTGGGGAGAGTTCTTGCCTATCGGCGGGCGCCGCCCAGCAAAGGGGCATGTCCAGCACCAAGGATTCTTGTTTAATCAACTTGCGGAGGGCCATTGCCTAACAAAGGGTGCCACGCAGCAGATGGGGCACATCTAGCACCAAACATTCTTTTTTAATCAACTTGGGGAAGGGTCTTGCCTGGCAGAAGGTTCCGTTCAGCAGATTGGGCACGCCTAGCACCATGGATTTGTGCTTTAAGCAACTTGGGGAGGGGTCTTGCCTAGCAGAAGGTGCCGCACAGCAGGTGGGGCACGCCTAGCACCAAGGATTCTTGTTTAATCAACTTGGGGAGGGCCATTGCCCAACAAAGGGTGCCACACAGCAGATGGGGCACGTCTAGCACCAAGGGTTATTGTTTTAATCAACTTGAGGAGGGGTCTTGACCAGCAGAAGGTGCCGCGCAGCAGATGGGACACGTCTAGCACCAAGGATTCTTTTTAGATCAACTTGGGGAGGGTTCTTGCCTAGCAGAGGGTGTCGCACAGCAGATGGGGCACGCCTAGCACCAATGACTCTTTTTCAATCAAGTTAGGGAGAGCTCTTGCCTATCAGCGGGCGCCGCCCAGCAAAGGGGCGTGTCCAGCACCAAGGATTCTTTTAAAATCAACTTGGGGAGGGGTCTTGCGTAGCAGAGGGCGCCGCGCAGCAGGTGGGGCACGTCTAACATCACGGGTTTGTTTTATCAGCTTGGGGAGAAGTCCTGCCTCCTAGCAAAGGGTGCCGCAAAGCAGATGGGGCACGTCAAGCACCAAGAATTTTTCTAAATCAACTTGGGGAAGGGGTCCTCCGGTAGGGGTCTTGCCCAGAAGAGGGTGTTGCGCAGCAGTTGTGGCATGTCTAGCACCAAGGATTCTGCTTTAATCAAGTTAGGGAGGTGTCTTGCCTAGCAGAGGGTGTCGCACAGCAGATGGGGCGCGCGTTGTGTTAGGCACGGAAAGCGTAAAGAAAATTGTACGTTGAAAAACTGGGCCTGGTGAAAAGAAGGAGCATCTTCACAAGGAGTAGCGTCTTCATCCGGAATAGCGCTTTCACAAGGAATATATAGCGTCTTCACCCGGAATAGCGTCTTCACTGGGAATAGCGTACTCACCCGAAATAGCTAGCGTCTTCACAAGGAATAGCGCCTTCACCTGGAATAGCGTCTTCACCCGGAATAACATCTTCACCCAGAATAGCGTCTTCACCGGGAATGGCGTCTTCACCGGGAATAGCATCATCACCGGGAATAGTGTCGTCACCCGGAATGATGTCTTGACCAGGAAGAGCGTCCTCACCGGGAATAGCGTCTTCACCAGGAATAGCGTCTCCACCCGGAACAGCGTCTTCACCGGGAATAGCGTCTTCACGGGGAATAGCGTCTTCACCGGGAATAGCGTCTTCACAGGGAAGAGAGTCCTCACCGGGAATAGCGTCTTCACCTGGAATAGCGTCTTCACCCGGAATAGCATCTTCACCTGGAATAGCGCATTCACAAAGAATAGTGTCTTCACCCGGAATAGCGTCTTCACCGGGAATAGCGTCCTCACCCGGAATCGCGTCTTCACCCGGAATAACGTCTTCACAGGTCATAACGTCTTTACCCGGAATACCGTCTTCTCCTGGAATAGGTTCTGCACCCGGAATAGCGCTTTCACCGGGAATGGCGTCAGTGCTGTCTGTGTCCGCACAGCGCGTCTTCACCGGGAACAGCGTCTTCACCGGGAATAGCGTCTTCACCGGGAATAGCGTCTTCACCCGGAACAGCGTCTTCACAGGGAATAGCGCCTTCACCGTCTTCACAGGGAATAGCGTCTTCGCAAGGAATACCGTCTTCACAGGGACGCGACGTCACAGGGAATAGCGTCTTCAAATAGCGTCTTCGGCGCCGGCTCGAACTGGGAACCCCGGTTGCCGGGGCAATGTATACATATATATATATATATATACACAAACATACACACATACCACGCGCGCGCTACACGCGCGCTTAGGTTCTAGTTGACTGCGGAAACGATGTCAGATGACATGAAACCCAGGAAACCAGGAGAGAGGCCCGCCATGCATAGAACCTCTTTCGGCCTGATTGCGGGGGACGTTGGCTTCCTCGGAAGTGGCCCCGGAGTCTGGGAGCGGGAGTGGAAAAAGGGTGGAGGAATGAGACAGGGTGGAGAGAATGGTCTGTGGACAGTCTTGAGGAGCCCCTTGAGCCACCTTGGCACCTTGCGACCAGCTCGGGGGTCCGACCGGAGCCAACCTGCCTGGGACGTCTGACATGCTTGGGGACCCGTCTGGGGACAACTTGGACTGTCTCCAAAGGTATTGGAAGCCCCAGATGCCCCAATAGCAGCCCACATGCAATCTGGGGCGGGCTTGGGCTCAAGGGCCGCCTGGGCCAAAGATTCCGCATGGAACCGGACCCCAAACCTGAAAATCTGCGCGTACGTGGCACGCGCCCCCTGAGCTTCCCGACGTACATGTGGGAACCCCTACGTCTTCCCGCGCGACTTTTTCGAGCCCACGAAAAGCTCAAAACGGGCCCAAAGGGCCCCAAAAGGCCTTCATAACGATCCTACTGGACACCGAGATGCCAGCCTCCAGAACGACTCGTTGAACGCTGCCTCCCCCATGCTGTTGTCTTTCCTGCTTTTCATCTTCCCCACTCCTCGCGATTCGGATGACGGAACCTGCCCCAAGAATCCTGAAATCTATCCACGCGTTGTCGCGGGGCATTTTCAGTACACAATCCGCCCACCTGTGGTCTTGCCACAGAGATGCGCGGCGTGCCAACCTTCTAACTTCTTGACATCTTGCACAACCCGTGGCGAGAGTAACCGCAACAGCAATGGCGGCCTCGGCGACGCCAAGCAAGCTCTGAACACCAGAGCAGCTCAAACCTAAACGCATCGCCCCGATGTGGGGTCGGCGGCAGAGGCGGCAGCCTTTAGATATGCCCCCAAGAGATTACCAAGAGATCCCTGAGAGGCCCCCGGGACAGCCAAGAAACCCCCAAGAAGCGCCATGAGGCCCCGAGCTCGCCATGTTCTTCTTCTTCCTCCTCCTCCTCCTCCTCCTCCTCCTCCTCCTCCCCTCATTATCCTCCTCATCCGCCTATGTCTCATCCTCTCTCCGCCCCCTCCCCCACCTCCTCCTGCTTCTCTTCCTCTTCCTCCTCGTCCTCCTCCGCATTTCCTGCCTCTCCTCCTCCTCGTCGTCCTCCCCCTCTCCGATCCCTCCTCCTTCTTCTCCCTCCTGGGACACGACGGTTTCTCCAGCCTTTTGTTGCTCTGAATGCTCCCCCACCTCTCTGATCAGGGATCTCGTCTGGGCATCGTCTCTGAATGGGCTTATCGACTTTCCACTTCCGATCGTCCTTCAAAGCCTCTATATGGCTCCAGAATGGCCCAAGACGGCTTCAAGAGAGGCCCAATAAAGCTCGAAGACGGCCCGTCCCTCCCTCTCCTCCTACTCGTCCTCCTCGTCCTCGCCCTACTCCACCTCCTCCTCCTCCTCCTCTTCTCCTCCTCCTCCGACGACGATTCCTCCTCTATCCTCCCCCTCTTGGGGTGCATGACGGCTTCCCCCGCCCTTTGTTCTTCTGCATGCTTCCCCACTTCCCTGGTCGCCTCAACTCCCCTGGGCATCGTTTCTGGACGGGCTGGTGGGGGTACTTTTTTGGGGGTCGCGGCCGCGAGCGAAGAGCGCAAGCGGCGAACAGGGTGTCCGGGCTGACGGGCAAACCTAATTAGCTGCTGGGCGCAGCGCGAGCTGGCCGGGCCAGCTCTGAGAGGCAGCAGCTGCGGCAGCGGCGGCGGGGGGCTGGCTGGCTGAACTGCAACGCCCAGGGAAGCTCGATCATCGTGCAGCCCTGTGGCAAAATGCCAGGGAATTCTGTGTTTTGTGCCGCGGCGCCAGTCCACCACGGTGAAGGTGCATTCAGTCCACCACGGTGAGGGTGCTGTCGGGACAAGCAGAGGGTGGCCTGCACGTACACTCCCCCCAGACACTGCAGTGGGGAAAGGCAAGGTACACACTGGTCATGTCGCGCTGGTGGGGGTACGCGAAGCGTCGCCAATGGGGAAGCTGTTGGGGGAGAGTGGACCTGGAGAAGCACGGCGCCCAAAGGCGGGCACGTCCGGCACCTTGGGCGCCCAACGCTGGAGGGGTCTCCCCCGGCGGGCCTCATCAAGACCAGAAACGCAACGTGCTCTCAAAACGCGCCCGGGGCGCATCCCGGACACGCGGGCGCAGGTCGACGAGAAGCGAAAGATGAGAAGGAGGAGGATGAGGTGTAGGAGGAAGAGGAGGGCAGGGGGGGAGACAGGGCAGGCGGCGAAGCGACGAATCGGCTCACAGAGGCGCCCGCGACCCTCCGAGAGCGCCGCCGGACTGCCCCGCGGCCGGGGCGCGGCCTCCTCGAGCCTCGAGCTGCCGCTGCCGCCGCTGCCGCCGCTGCGCGCGCTCAGAGGTATTCATTCTTGAAGTTGTCACAGACGACAAGCAAGTCGCTCTTAACCGCCTCGAGCTGCGTCTTCAAGTGACGTACACCATCCGCATCCATGATCAACTTTTTGAGCTTGCTGTCCTGGTTCCGACGCAGGTCATCAACGATGGGCCTCCAATCAATCGAATCGCCCTTCAGATCGGGCTTTAAATTAAGGTACTGCAACATCTTGTTCTGGGCAAGCATCTCCCCGACCGGCATGACGGATTCATGATGCACGGGTATGCCCAGCTCGATCAGCGTCGTGTTGTCGCGGAGGGCTTGCATCATCTCAGGGATGCTGGAGCGAATACCAGGGTTCCCCCAAACTTGCACAATCTTCAGTGTTTTGCTCTTGACCAGCATGTACGCAATTGCCTTGCCAGAGTCCTTGTCAAGCTCGTTGCGCGCGAGGTCCACCTCGGTCAGGTCATCCATCCAGGCGCTTTTCTCGATGCGCTTGATCAGGTTATGACGAACTTTCAGAATCTTGAGGACGTTGTTGATTATGGTGAGGGTTCCGGTGAGGACGTTGTTGGTTGCGGTGAGGGTTCCCGTGACGGGGTCGATGTCCGTGATACAGTTACTCGAAATGTCCAGACTCTTCAGCGTCCTGTTCTGGCGCAGCATCCTGCCCAGACATTCGGCGTTCTTGATGTTATTATAACGCAAGGCCAGCGTCTTTCACCGTCGTGTTTTGGCACAGTTTCTCGGCAACTCTTGCGACCGCCGCGTCGCCGAGACATTTGCCGTTCAGGCTCACCTCCTCGCCCTTGTAATTGACGAACAGGTTGCGCCGCTCTTCCCACGCCTCGGCCAACGTGATCAGCGCAGAGAAGCCCGCCGTGACGATGTTCGCCATGGCTACTGCCCCGAAGTTCCCGTTGTAGGTGAAGGCTCCATCCGCGCCCCACATGGAAACCAAAAGGGAAAGGACGACGGCTGGGAGATCCTCGATGACAGTGCACCAGGCCTTGACGGAGCCTGTGCTGAGGCCACGTTTGGAAAGGCGTTTGCGCAGCCCTGCGGCATCGGAGGGGGGAAGGCGGAGAAGGAGAAGGCGGAGGAGGAGGCGGAGAAGGCGAAGGGAGAGGAGGAGGAGGAGGAGGAGGAGGAGGAGGAGGAGGAGGACGAGGAGACGGAGGAGGATGAGAGGGGGGGGGGGACGACGAGAAGAGAGGGAGCTCTGGGAGGACGATGACGATGACGATTTCCCACACGTGCTGCTCAAACATGAGATGAGTGAGGGTCTGATTCGTCTGATACGCTGCTCCGCAGCATCGACTTGAGCTGAGAACACGTAACCAACCATCGCATGCCGAGGCGAACCGCTCGAGATCAGAATACAGGTGGTGCCGAGCAGACGAAGGGCCACGTTACCAAGCGTACCGCCAAGCACTGGAAACCCTCGAAAAGGATGCATATGTGAGGAGAAGCCACTCACGCGTGCCGCATGGGATTCACAGACAGCACTTCGAATGAACGGTGGCAAAACGCCGATAACCCGTCAGAGAGGTGCACATGAGCACACCGACAATGCGAACACGACCTGAATTGAGAACAACATGCCAAACGAATGCCACAGTAGTAGCATGTGTAGTAGAACGAAAAGCAGAAACTCCATCAAGGATGCCAACATGTTGGCAAACACAGACACACAATGCTAACGATCTTCTATCCTCACAAACGCCGACATGTAGAACGGACCAAGCCACACAACAAACGACACACCATGCTTCAAACACGATAACATATGATATTAACCCCCTGGGGGTTATAATATTCGGTGTCTGGGGGGGAAATAAACGATTTTCCAAGCGGAGGATGATGGTGATGATGATGCTGATGATGATGATGATGATGATGATGATGATGATGATCCTGGGCGCTCGTGTAACTAGATCCTCACACAAAACTGTCCTTGGTGTCCTTGGTGGCCTCGCTTGATGATGTTGCTAGTCAACATAAGAAGATAACACTTTCGATTCGCAACTTCCCACCGCGATAATCAAGTTCGGCCTCGCCGCCCCTCTCCACAATCAAATCTGTCTGACCCGGGGATAACAACCACTCAGGGGTTAAGGGGGGAGTCCACTTTATCATCCGAGGTTAGAGGGTTAATCCCACGCCCATGCTGGTTCCATTGTTGATCGTTCCCGTGTAACTGTTGATTCCCTGGTTGTCCGTTTCCATGTTGTTGTCGGTCATGTCGAGAGTCTGCCGCTAGATCGCCATGTTCTGGAAACGCTCTTTGCTTGCGCATTGAACCTGAGAGCAATAATCCCAAAAACATGCTCCACATACCATACACTGAAGTATTGAGAACTGAAGTCGCCCCAAAGAACGAAACTAACAAAACACCGTCCGTCGCGATTCTCTCTCACCTTGGCTCGCTTAAAATGTGCCCAAGGAGTTCTTTTAGCGTTGGTAGCTCGGCGTCTTGGAAATTATTGTTTGGGCGATTTTAGGTCTCAACACATAGAAATTATACAACAAATTATGCGTTCTGTTAATTCGCGTTTTCAAACCGGTGGTTTAGCGTTCTCAGCCTGAAGACGCAAAACCAAAAGCAAAAAACAACGACAGAAAACAGCCCATAAAGAGCAAAACAACAAACCGTAGCGTTGTTTTGTTAAGCACTGTCAGCCTGTCAAGAGCCCAATCTAGAAAACGCTTCTTGTTCATATGATCTTTTTTCTTTCCAACCGCAGCAGGTTTGTATGAACAGAGGGAAGGAGGCGCCGTCCCTCTGTTTCAGACCTTACCTGCAACGCGTTGGGAAGCAGGAGGTCGGGGAGACGCGGGAGATGCCGCGACTCCAAACACCGCCCACACCTGACAGGCCTTGCTGCGCGGAAGAGTGTGGGGGGGGGGCGCATAGCGCCGAGTGGCAGGAGCTGCCACAAAAATCAAAACAAGAGATGCCAAAATCGACCACCCACACAAGGACGGCGAGACCTACCACCCCTGGCGCAAAGAGCGCCAGGACGGTGGCTGGGCCTCGCCCCAGATGTGGGGTAATTATGCGCACGGATGCCTGCCCCGAGGGGCAGCCGCATCGGGCCGTGCGCCACTGGCAGGGAAACAGCAGAACAGATAAAAGATAAAGCCGCGCCTTCCGCGCGAACTCAGCAATGCAACATGCACAGGGCAAGTGCTAGGACGCAGGGGATGGCCGTCTCCCCTCTCCCAGCTTGAACTTAATTGCCACGGGCACAACACTGCGGACAGACACGTCGGGCCTTGCACAAAGACTGAGAGACTCGGGAGCGATGGCTCGGAAAAGACAAACACAGAATAAAAACCGAAAGACCGCACAAGGGAGACGAGGCTCGCCTACCCCTGGTGCAGAGAGCGCCAGGACCGTGGCAAGCCTCACCCCACAAGTGGGCTGAGTAAGAAGCGAGGCGAACCAAGTCCCTCACGACGCGAGAGGAATCTGGGGAGGAGGAGCAGTAATTCCGAAGGGCCAAAATAGCTCCAGGAGGCACCGGGAGGGGTCAAGACAAACCCCAGAAGGCACCAGGAGGTCCCAGGAAGCCCCGGGGAGCCCCGCCCCAGGAGGCCCCAGGAGGCTTCAGGAGAGTCCAGAAAGCCCCAGAAAGCCACCAGAAGCCCCAGAGGGCCCCAGGAAGCCACAGGAGGCCCCAGGAAGCCCCAGGAGACGACCAATATATAGGCACATACGTTAAACACAAAGGATTGTGAAGCCACCCAGACCGCGCAGCACCGGTGACACGCTTCCAACGGATCCATCCTGCGGGCTCCTGGGGCATTCCGCCTCAAGAAGGTCCCGGGAGGCCTCGAGAAACACCCAGGAAGCCCCATGAGGCCCCCAAGAAGACCAAACAAGGCCCTAAGAGGCTCCAAAACGGCCCCCCAGGAGGCTGAAAACTGCATCCATAAGCCCGACGAGAAACCTTTTCTCGTCGGCCGCCCCCGCCGCCGCCGGCCGCCGCCGCCCGATGGGGCTGGGTTGCGGGTCCAAGGCCTCCCGGATGTTCGTTTGGGGGTCTCTTGGGAGGTTTCTCGTCAGGCTTTTGGAAGCTGTTCTGAAGCCTCCTGAGGAACCGTTTTGGGGCCTCTTAGGATTCTTTTTAAATCAACTTGGGGAGGGGTCTTGTCTAGCAGAAGGTGCCGCACAGCAGGTGGGCACGCCTAGCACCAATGATTATTTTCTAATCAACTGGGAAGGGCTCTTGCCTATCAGAGGGTGCCGCACAGCACAGGGGCATGTCTAGCACCAAGAATTCTTTTTAATCAACTTGGGGAGGGGTCTTGCCTAGCATAGGGGGCCGCACAGCAAAGGGCATGTCTAGCACCAGGGATTCTGTTTTAACTAACTTGGGAAATGGTCTTGCCTAGCAGAAGGTGCCGCGCAGCAGAGGGGCTCAACTTGGAGAGGATGCCTCGCAGCAAAGGGGCACGCCTAGCACCAAGGATTCTTTCTGAATCAGCTTGGGGAGAGGTCTTGCCTAGAAGAAAGTGCCGCACAACAGATGGGGCACGCCTAGCACCAATGATTCTGTTTTATCAATTTGGGGAGGGCTCTTGCCTATCAGAGGGTGCCGCACAGCAAAGGGGCATGTCCAGCACCAAATATTATTTGTTTAATCAACTTGACGAGGGGTCTTGCCTAGCAAAGGTGCCGCGCAGCAAAAGGGCATGTCTAGCACCAGGTTTTTTTTGAAATTACCTTGGAGAGGGGTCTTGCCCAGCAGAAGGTGCCGCACAGCAAAGGAGCTCACCTTGGAGAGGGTGCCGCACAGCACAGGGGCACATCTAGCACCAAGAGTTCTTCTTTAATCAACTTGGGGAAGGGTCTTGCCTAGCAGAAGGTGCCGCACAGCAAATGGGGCACGCCTAGCACCAAGGATTCTTGTTTAAAATCAACTTGGGGAGGGCCATTGCCTAACAAAGGGTGCCACGCAGCAGATGGGGCACCTCTATCACTAAACATTCTTTTCAATCAACTTGGGGAGGGGTCTTGCCTAACAGAAGGTTCCGTTCAGCAGATGGGGCACGTCTAGCACCAATAATTTTTGGTTTGGACAACTTGGGGAGGGGTCTTCCCAAGCAGAAGGTGCCGCACAGCAGGTGGGGCACGCCTAGCACCAATGACTCTTGTTAGATCAACTTAGGGAGGGCCATTGCCCAACAAAGGGTGCCACGCAGCAGATGGGGCAAGTCTAGCACCAACGATTCTTGTTCAATCAACTTGGGGAGGGGTCTTGCCTAGCAGAAGGAACCGCACAGCAGGTGGGGCACGCCTAGCACCAAGGATTCATTTTAAATCAACTTGGGGAGGGCCATCGCCTGACAAAGGGTGCCACGCAGCAGATGGGGCACGTCTAGCACCACGGGTTATTGTTTTAATCAACTTGGGGAGGGGTCTTGTCTAGCAGAGGATGCCGCACAGCAGGTGGGGCACGCCTAGCACGAAGAACTTGTTGTTTAGTCAACTTGGGGAGGGTTCTTGCCTATCAGAGGGTGCCGCACAGCAAAGGGGCACGTCCAGCACCAAATACTCTTTTTTAATCAACTTTGCGAGGGGTCTTGCGTAGCAAAGGTGCCGCACAGCAAAAGGGCATGTCTAGCACCAGGGATTCGTTTGACATTACCTTGGGGAAGAGTCTTGCCTAGCAGAAGGTGCCGCATTGCAAAGGGGCTCACCTGGGAGAGGGTGCCGCACAGCACAGGGGCACGCCTAGCACCAATGACTCTTGTTTAATCAACTTGGGGAGAGTTCTTGCCCATCGGCGGGCGCCGCCCAGCAAAGGGGCATGTCCAGCACCAAGGATTCTTGTTTAATCAACTTGCGGAGGGCCATTGCCTAACAAGGGGTGCCACGCAGCAGATGGGGCACATCTAGCACTAAACATTCTTTTTTAATCAACTTGGGGAGGGGTCTTGCCTGGCAGAAGGTGCCGCACAGCAAATGGGGCACGCCTAGCACCATGGATTTTTTCTTTAAGCAACTTGGGGAGGGGTCTTGCCTAGCAAAAGGTGCCGCACAGCAGGTGGGGCAAGCCTAGCACCAAGGATTCTTGTTTAATCAACTTGGGGAGGGCCATTGCCCAACAAAGGGTGCCACACAGCAGATGGGGCACGTCTAGCACCAAGGGTTATTGTTTTAATCAACTTGGGGAGGGGTCTTGACCAGCAGAAGGTGCCGCGCAGCAGATGGGACACGTCTAGCACCAAGGACTCTTTTTAAAACATATTGGGGAGGGTTCTTGCCTAGCAGAGGGTGTCGCACAGCAGATGGGGCACGCCTAGCACCAATGACTCTTTTTTCATCAAGTTAGGGAGAGTTCTTGCCTATCAGCGGACGCCGCCCAGCAAAGGGGCATGTCCAGCACCAAGGATTCTTTTTAAATCAACTTGGGGAGGGGTCTTGCGTAGCAGAGGGCGCCGCGCAGCACATGGGGCACGTCTAACATCACGGGTTTGTTATATCAGCTTGGGGAGAAGTCCTGCCTCCTAGCCCAGGGTGTCGCAAAGCAGATGGGGCACGTCAAGCACCAAGAATTTTGTTTTAAATCAACTTGGGGAAGGGGTCCTCCGGTAGGGGTCTTGCCCAGAAGAGGGTGTTGCGCAGCAGTTGTGGCACGTCTAGCACCAAGGAATCTGCTTTAATCAAGTTAGGGAGGTGTCTTGCCTAGCAGAGGGTGTCGCACAGCAGATGGGGCGCGCGTTGTGTTAGGCACGGAAAGCGTAAAGAAAGTTGTACGTTGAAAAACTGGGCCTGGTGAAAAGAAGGAGCATCTTCACAAGGAATAGCGTCTTCATCCGGAATAGCGCTTTCACAAGGAATCTATAGCGTCTTCACCCGGAATAGCGTCTTCACCGGGAATAGCGTACTCACCCGGAATAGCTAGCGTCTTCACAGGGAATAGCGCCTTCACCTGGAATAGCGTCTTCACCCGGAATAACATCTTCACCCAGAATAGCGTCTTCACCGGGAATGGCGTCTTCACCGGGAATAGCACCATCACCGGGAATAGCGTCGTCACCCAGAATAGTGTCTTGACCAGGAAGAGCGTCCTCACCGGGAATAGCGTCTTCACCAGGAATAGCGTCTCCACCCGGAATAGCGTCTTCACCGTGAATAGCGTCTTCACGGGGAATAGCGTCTTCACCGGGAATAGCGTCTTCACCCAGAATAGCGTCTTCACAGGGAATAGAGTCTTCACAGGGAAGAGAGTCTTCACCGGGAATAGCGTCTTCACCCGGAAAAGCGTCTTCACCCGGAGTAGCATCTTCACCGGGAATAGCGCATTCACAAAGAATAGCGTCTTCACCCGGAATAGCGTCTTCACCCGGAATAGCGTCCTCACCCGGAATCGCGTCTTCACCGGGAATAGCGTCTTCACCCGGAATAACGTCTTCACAAGTCATAACGTCTTTACCCGGAATAGCGTCTTCTCCTGGAATAGGTTCTGCACCCGGAATAGCGCTTTCACCGGGAATGGCGTCAGTGCTGTCTGTGTCCGCACAGCGCGTCTTCACCGGGAATAGCGTCTTCACCGGGAATAGCGTCTTCACCGGGAATAGCGTCTTCACCCGGAACAGCGTCTTCACGGGGAATAGCGTCCTCACCGTCTTCACAGGGAATAGCGTCTTCACAAGGAACACCGTCTTCACAGGGACGCGACGTCACAGGGAATAGCGTCTTCAAATAGCGTCTTCGGCGCCGGCTCGAACTGGGAACCCCGGTTGCCGGGGCAATGTAAATATATATATATAGACACATACACACATACACACATACCACGCGCGCGCTACACGCGCGCTTAGGTTCTAGTTGACTGCGGAAACGATGTCAGATGACATGAAACCCAGGAAACCAGGAGAGAGGCCCGCCATGCATAGAACCTCTTTCGGCCTGATTGCGGGGGACGTTGGCTTCCTCGGAAGTGGCTCCGGAGTCTGGGAGCGGGAGTGGAAAAAGGGTGGAGGAATGAGACAGGGTGGAGAGAATGGTCTGTGGACAGTCTTGAGGAGCCCCTTGAGCCACCTTGGCACCTTGCGACCAGCTCGGGGGTCCGACCGGAGCCAACCTGCCTGGGACGTCTGACATGCTTGGGGACCCGTCTGGGGACAACTTGGACTGTCTCCAAAGGTATTGGAAGCCCCAAATGCCCCAATAGCAGCCCACATGCAATCTGGGGCGGGCTTGGGCTCAGGGGCCGCCTGGGCCAAAGATTCCGCATGGAACCGGACCCCAAACCTGAAAATCTGCGCGTACGTGGCACGTGCCCCCTGAGCTTCCCGACGTACATGTGGGAACCCCTACGTCTTCCCGCGCGACTTTTTCGAGCCCACGAAAAGCTCAAAACGGGCCCAAAGGGCCCCAAAAGGCCTTCATAACGATCCTACTGGACACCGAGATGCCAGCCTCCAGAACGACTCGTTGAACGCTGCCTCCCCCATGCTGTTGTCTTTCCTGCTTTTCATCTTCCCCACTCCTCGCGATTCGGATGACGGAACCTGCCCCAAGAATCCTGAAATCTATCCACGCGTTGTCGCGGGGCATTTTCAGTACACAATCCGCCCACCAGTGGTCTTGCCACAGAGATGCGCGGCGTGCCAACCTTCTAACTTCTTGACATCTTGCACAACCCGTGGCGAGAGCAGCCGCAACAGCAATGGCGGCCTCGGCGACGCCAAGCAAGCTCTGAACACCAGAGCAGCTCAAACCTAAACGCATCGCCCCGATGTGGGGTCGGCGGCAGAGGCGGCAGCCTTTAGATATGCCCCCAAGAGATTACCAAGAGATCCCTGAGAGGCCCCCGGGACAGCCAAGAAGCCCCCAAGAAGCGCCATGAGGCCCCGAGCTCGCCATGTTCTTCTTCTTCCTCCTCCTCCTCCTCCTCCTCCTCCCCTCATTATCCTCCTCATCCGCCTATGTCTCATCCTCTCTCCGCCCCCTCCCCCACCTCCTCCTGCTTCTCTTCCTCTTCCTCCTCGTCCTCCTCCGCATTTCCTGCCTCTCCTCCTCCTCGTCGTCCTCCCCCTCTCCGATCCCTCCTCCTTCTTCTCCCTCCTGGGACACGACGGTTTCTCCAGCCTTTTGTTGCTCTGAATGCTCCCCCACCTCTCTGATCAGGGATCTCGTCTGGGCATCGTCTCTGAATGGGCTTATCGACTTTCCACTTCCGATCGTTCTTCAAAGCCTCTATATGGCTCCAGAATGGCCCAAGACGGCTTCAAGAGAGGCCCAATAAAGCTCGAAGACGGCCCCAAGAGCGCCCAAGAACGCCTCAATAGCGTCCCACGAGGACCTCAAGGGGCGATTTGAGGTGCTATCGGCGGGGCGGCGTTGGTTCAACCAATGCGTCACGACAAGAGCGCTCCAAGAGGGGTCCAGGAGGCGATTCTCGGCGCTCCCGAGGGGGGCTAATTGGAGCTCCCCTCTTCTGTTGATCCATGTCCTCAAAGGTGGCCCCAAGAGCGCCCCTGCAGCTCCCAAGGAGCGCCCCAAGAGGGCCCCAAGAGGCGCCCAGACGGCCCCGAGAGGCCTCTAAGAGGCTCCCAAGAGACTCCATACGAGGCTTCAAGAGGATCCCCGAAGTACCCGACTCTCCCTCACTCTCCTCCTACTCGTCCCCCTCGTCCTCGCCCTACTCCACCTCCTCCTCCTCCTCCTCTTTTCCTCCTCCTCCGACGACGATTCCTCCTCTATCCTCCCCCTCTTGGGGTGCATGACGGCTTCCCCCGCCCTTTGTTCTTCTGCATGCTTCCCCACTTCCCTGGTCGCCTCAACTCCCCTGGGCATCGTTTCTGGACGGGCTGGTGGGGGTACTTTTTTGGGGGTCGCGGCCGCGAGCGAAGAGCGCAAGCGGCGAACAGGGTGTCCGGGCTGACGGGCAAACCTAATTAGCTGCTGGGCGCAGCGCGAGCCGGCCGGGCCAGCTCTGAAAGGCAGCAGCTGCGGTAGCGGCGGCGGGGGGCTGGCTGGCTGAACTGCAACGCCCAGGGAAGCTCGAGCATCGTGCAGCCCTGTGGCAAAATGCCAGGGAATTCTGTGTTTTGCGCCGCGGCGCCAGTCCACCACGGTGAAGGTGCATTCAGTCCACCACGGTGAGGGTGCTGTCGGGACAAGCAGAGGGTGGCCTGCACGTGCACTCCTCCCAGACACTGCAGTGGGGAAAGGCAAGGTGCACACTGGTCATGTCGCGCTGGTGGGGGTACGCGAAGCGTCGCCAATGGGGAAGCTGTTGGGGGAGAGTGGACCTGGAGAAGCACGGCGCCCAAAGGCGGGCACGTCCGGCACCTTGGGCGCCCAACGCTGGAAGGGTCTCCCCCGGCGGGCCTCATCAAGACCAGAAACGCAACGTGCTCTCAAAACGCGTCCGGGGCGCATCCCGGACACGCGGGCGCAGGTCGACGAGAAGCGAAAGATGAGAAGGAGGAGGATGAGGTGCAGGAGGAAGAGGAGCGCAGGGGGGGAGACAGGGCAGGCGGCGAAGCGACGAATCGGCTCACAGAGGCGCCCGCGACCCTCCGAGAGCGCCGCCGGACCGCCCCGCGGCCGGGGCGCGGCCTCCTCGAGCCTCGAGCTGCCGCTGCCGCCGCTGCCGCCGCTGCGCGCGCTCAGAGGTATTCATTCTTGAAGTTGTCACAGACGACAAGCAAGTCGCTCTTAACCGCCTCGAGCTGCGTCTTCAAGTGACGTACACCATCCGCATCCATGATCAACCTTTTGAGCTTGCTGTCCTGGTTCCGACGCAGGTCATCAACGATGGGCCTCCAATCAATCGAATCGCCCTTCAGATCGGGCTTTAAATTAAGGTACTGCAACATTTTGTTCTGGGCAAGCATCTCCCCGACCGGCATGACGGATTCGTGATGCACGGGTCTGCCCAGCTCGATCAGCGTCGTGTTGTCGCGGAGGGCTTGCATCATCTTAGGGATGCTGGAGCGAATACCAGGGTTCCCCCAAACTTGCAGAATCTTCAGTGTTTTGCTCTTGACCAGCATGTACGCAATTGCCTTGCCAGAGTTCTTGTCAAGCTCGTTACGCGCGAGGTCCACCTCGGTCAGGTCATCCATCCAGGCGCTTTTCTCGATGCGCTTGATCAGGCTATGACGAACTTTCAGAATCTTGAAGACGTTGTTGATTATGGTGAGGGTTCCGGTGAGGACGTTGTTGGTTGTGGTGAGGGTTCCGGTGACGGGGTCGATGTCCGTGATACAGTTACTCGAAATGTCCAGACTCTTCAGCGTCCTGTTCTGGCGCAGCATCCTGCCCAGACACTCGGCGTTCTTGATGTTATTTTAACGCAAGGCCAGCGTCTTCACCGTCGTGTTTTGGCACAGTCTCTCGGCAACTCTTGCGACCGCCGCGTCGCCGAGACATTTGCCGTTCAGGCTCACCTCATCGCCCTTGTAATTGACGAAAAGGTTGCGCCGCTCTTCCCACGCCTCGGCCAACGTGATCAGCGCAGAGAAGCCCGCCGTGACGATGTTCGCCATGGCTACTGCCCCGAAGTTCCCGTTGTAGGTGAAGGCTCCATCCGCGCCCCACATGGAAACCAAAAGGGAAAGGACGACGGCTGGGAGATCCTCGATGACAGTGCACCAGGCCTTGACGGAGCCTGTGCTGAGGCCACGTTTGGAAAGGCGTTTGCGCAGCCCTGCGGCATCGGAGGGGAGAAGGCGGAGAAGGAGAAGGCGGAGGAGGAGGCGGAGAAGGCGAAGGGAGAGGAGGAGGAGGAGGAGGAGGAGGAGGAGGAGGAGGAGACGGAGGAGGATGAGAGGGGGGGGGGGACGACGAGAAGAGAGGGAGCTCTGGGAGGACGATGACGATGACGATTTCCCACACGTGCTGCTCAAACATGAGATGAGTGAGGGTCTGATTCGTCTGATACGCTGCTCCGCAGCATCGACTTGAGCTGAGAACACGTAACCAACCATCGCATGCCGAGGCGAACCGCTCGAGATCAGGATACAGGTGGTGCCGAGCAGACGAAGGGCCACGTTACCAAGCGTACCGCAAAGCACTGGAAACCCTCGAAAAAGGATGCATCTGTGAGGAGAAACCACTCACGCGTGCCGCATGGGATTCACAGACAGCACTTCGAATGAACGGTGGCAAAACGCCGATAACCCGTCAGAGAGGTGTACATGAGCACACCGACAATGCGAACACGACCTGAATTGAGAACAACATGCCAAACGAATGCCACAGTAGTAGCATGTGTAGTAGAACGAAAAGCAGAAACTCCATCAAGGATGCCAACATGTTGGCAAACACAGACACACAATGCTAACGATCTTCTATCCTCACAAACGCCGACATGTAGAACGGACCAAGCCACACAACAAACGACACACCATGCTTCAAACACGATAACCTATGATATTAACCCCCTGGGGAGTATAAGATTCGGCGTCTGGGGGGGGGGGGGGAATAAACGATTTTCCAAGCGGAGGATGATGGTGATGATGATGATGATGATGATAATGATGATGATCCTGGGCGCTCGTGTAACTAGATCCTCACACAAAACTGTCCTTGGTGTCCTTGGTGGCCTCGCTTGATGATGTTGCTAGTCAACAAAAAAAAAAAAAACACTTTCGATTCGCAACTTCCCCCCGCGATAATCAAGTTCGGCCTCGCCGCCCCTCTCCACAATCAAATCTGTCTGACCCGGGGATAACAACCACTCAGGGGTTAAGGGGGGGGTCCACTTTATCATCCGAGGTTAGAGGGTTAATCCCACGCCCATGCTGGTTCCATTGTTGATCGTTCCCGTGTAACTGTTGATTCCCTGGTTGTCCGTTTCCATGTTGTCGTCGGTCATGTCAGTCGAAAGTGAGCCTGGTAACTCAAATAGCATCCGATTCCATGATAGACATCGGATGGCAAATAGCGTCCATCGCTCTGCTGTGATAGTACAGTATGAGGGGTGGACGGATATGATAGGATAAGATCGATGTAATGATCATTCCAGCAAATAGCGAACACAAGCAGTGTCCGGGCAAATAGGGCGCGCGTGCCTTGGGCCAAAGGCAACGGCGCGCGAGCTATGCTCCCGATGCTGTAACATCTCCCAAAGAGCTACCCTTAAAGTCGGGAGGGGAGGAGACGGAGAGCATAGTCGCACGCAAAGATCGCGCGCACGACTGTTTGCAAAAAAGAAAACAGTGCGTACAGTCTGGCCTAACACCAGACTGTAAGGCGAGTCTCCTCGCAAAGTATTTCACGCAAATACAAGATAGCCCCTTCAAGCAATGAAGGGCTATCGGCTCAGTTAGAGGTAAGCCAAACAGGCCATACCTCACCAAGCAAATGTGTATTAAGGCAAAGAGCCTGAGTTGTACGAAGCCGGCTCGTTGCCAGGCGTGAAATATAAGGCTCGTTTCCGAGCAACTAGAAGGGCGCCTTTATAGTAGGCGCCCGTGCTGGCAAATTGGACCGCGAGGGCAACAAGGACAGACTAAAATTGATTAGACTTAGGTTTGTCTCTGTCCTCGGGACCCCGAAAGGGAACAAATTGCTTCACGTCATACTTAAATGACTGAGTGCCTGACATCACTTCCAGAAGCAGCTCCCGATCGATGCTTCCCTTTGTATGCCCATCTGCGGTCATATCCCTAGTATCACACCATTGCACATTATGTACTATACCTATATCCATGAGCTCACGTATCCAGCTGATATGTCCAAGCAGAGTCCGTTCTGTAGGTATCTTGAGATCCCTGCTTGATAAAGATTTGTAGACGGACTCGGCGTCTATGGTAAGAGAGACTTTGATAGCTAGGCCTCCAACTTCACGCATGTCTCGTAGTTGTCGTGGAGTCAAAGCTCCTGCCTTAAGCTCGTGGAGAGTAATGAGCGTAGGGTAACACTCATCAAGGTTATGTGCGGCTGCAAGTGCCTCCGCAGCATAACTGGACCTCACCTGTAATCGGTGTGATTTGCATAGTCCGTCACAGAGGTGAACGACGGACTTGCCTTGAGGCGAGTTTCCTCGCCGTAGTACATTGGCCCCGCGTATGCCGTAGCCCTTGGTCTCGTCATCCTCCTCCCCGGTAAGCTTCCGATACCCCGAATCGCTATGGATGTCAACTTCATTCGTCGGCTTCATCCGAGGGAAGGTGATGCGTTTCGGGCTGCTGATCAGCTTTCGCGTCACAGCATTCAAACGTCTGACTTGCAGATTGGTGGGCTCTTGAATTTTCTGAAGAGAGACCACGTATACCATGAGCCAGATTTGGGTAAGAAGGGCATAGGCAAGGGCTCCTCGCAGGCTGACGAACATGTCGGTAATGAGTTTCGTGGCTTTGGCATCGGCCGCCGCTCCTGTAAGTTCTGGGTGTGTGATAGGACGTAGTTGTTTGATATACTCGTCCTGGTCCATGATCACATCTCCTTGATCACTCTTAGTGTAGCGAACGGCGCAGTTCGTATATGTGTGCTTGTTGAGCGCTGTACATAGTCGTCTATATTTTTCTCTAGACCTGCCATGTTAATATCATCGACATGTTTTGCCGTCAGCAGGTCTTGGCTGAATTCAAATTCAGGATCGTAGCTGGTCGGTGCAAGGCCTATAGCTCGTGTGGTCGTACGAAGTTTGAGAGAGAACGCTCTTGGAGCGTCCTTTGTACCCGTTCCTGGTTTGAGGCATCTAAGACAGTGTCGGCTTTCGTCGTAGGATGAGAAGCTGGGTAATGCACGAAGTACCTGAGCACTTCCTGGTGGAAGAGTAAAGCAAACCATGCGAGTTTCCTCGCCGGTGGCATGGGCAAGTTCCTCATAGGTCAAACCCTTGAGGAACGCTTTATCGATGTCCATGGATGCTAAGATCCATTCTGGATGGCATGCCGCTTCACTTGCCATGAGTCGTTGTGACTGCCTTCGGGCGGTTCCCGAGAATGTTTCCACATCGAAAGCCTCAGTATCCATAAATCCACGAAGGACAAGTCTGAGACGAATGGTTTTAACGTTCTCGGCACCCATCTTTATGAACTTCCAGGTGTATACATACCTGGATGTCATGATGTTGGAAGCTTTGGATAAATCATACATCTCAAAGCATCGGTTGTCAATCCAGATTTTGAGCTCAGTATACAAAGCTTCACTAACCTCCTTTGGATGTGCTGCTATGTCGGCTTTGGTCAGTAGATCATCTTCTTTGACAACCACAGCACGTTTAGCAGCAGAGGATACCTATACTCTCATCGTTGCGACCATATCGGTATCGAGCTGTGCAAGTTGAGTCTGATCCAACACTATTTTTGACATTTCTGATGTAAAGCATAATTCAACGTAAGGACCATATTCATCACTGTCAAGAGAGTGGCTCTCGTCGGTTGTGGATGAACAAAGAGAGACTAGACAATATTCACGTGATTTCGGCTCGTCTCCGAGCATATCTGATGATATAATATCATCCTCGTCCACAAATGCTGAAACCAAAACACATTGGTCGGGCAGCATAGTTGTTGGGACGCAATAAAGATAATCATCGGTAATCGTCGTAGGATGAAGGTCTATACGTAGCTCGTCGTACCACTCCTCCAGCATCATAACTTCGATATTGTGTTCCTCATTTTCCTCATAGATTGTCGACAGACGGCCTTCACTCGGCGATGAAGTATCTGGTGTGTCTGGAGAAGGCCTGTTTCCAGGCGACTCGTGTTCTCCAGACGTGTTGCTTGAATGCTGATATTTAACCAAGTCGTCGTGAAATCCTAAGGAAGGGACACGTGAAGTCAAGCATTGAAGAAGTCTGGAATGAGTGCTACCAGTGATCTGAGAAATGTTTAAGCCGGTGCCCACACATTCGTAATAGTGGAAAGCCGGGCTGATGTCGTTGTCATAGTGGATCAGCGTAGACCCGGTGGCGTACTTTACTGCAGGTAGGCTTGACACACTCTTAGCCAATCGAACTGCTACTACACGTTCTACTCGGGAGTAATTTCGTACGAGATACTGTAGTGCTGAGTGCACGCGCGGGTGAAACTTGCTGTCGTCTGAAAGATTAAGGTTTCCCTTGTAGTCGGGGATATAACCGAAAACTTTGGCAGGTTTCCCTGCGCCGAGGTGTGCCACATGAGCAAGGACGGTTTGCATGGCCATATTATCCATGCCAAGTTCCCGTGTGAGGAGACATTCGATGTATAGTGTGTGACGAGCATCAGGATACATCACAATTACCTCACGAGATCCTGCCTTGACAACAATATGTCCTCTTTCAGGCACATTACGGATCACCGGGAATGGGCCGTTCCAGCCTCCATGGTCGTCCAAATCCCCTGATGAGTAGAGGCGAGCACCATCAGGAGTCGTCTTAGCCCTAAGAGCCCGATTTGTCTTGGCCACAGCAGTAGCCTGAGTTATAGCTTCTAGGCTGACTTCCCTTACACGACGTTCTCGTTCGTGTCCTGAAGTCTCGGGTCCCTTGGGAAAGTCAAGGGTATCGAGATCAGGGAGGAAAGAGGGCTGACGTCCTGTGTGTGCCTGATATGGCGATACTCCGTTATAAAACGCAAACGCATTAGTAACGAAGATGCCTTCCGCCAGTACTCTAGTGAATACAACAGGGATGTTGTGTCTATTCAATTCTTCCTCAATCATGTGGAGGACGCC